GCCACGTCTACCTGCTCCTCCTCCTCCCTGGTCCGGCCTCCTCCCCCCATTCTCACTCCTTTCCACTACCTGCCCTCCTCCTCACATTCATTCTCTTCTTCCCTTCCTGCTCCCCCTCTCCCCTAGGACTCCTCCCTTCCTCAGCTCTCCCGAATTGCTTCCTCGCCGGTCTTCCCCCAGCCTCTCTTCCGCCTCTTTGGCTCCTTTCGCCTCTTTGGCTCCTTTCGCACTACCTGTCTCTCCTTCCCTTTCTTCTCTCCCTCTTGACTTCTCTCGCGTTCACGTTCCTTCATTGTACCTCTGGGGTGGGGGGGTTTGGCCACAGGAGAACCTGAACAAGCTGATGACCAACCTGCGGTCCACCCACCCCCACTTTGTGCGTTGCATCATCCCCAATGAGACAAAGTCTCCAGGTGAGCCCACGGACCCAGGCCGCCTACTGCTGGAGAGCCGCTGCCCCAGGAATGGGGCCCACGGGGTCATTTCTGCCTTTGCCACCATCGGTTGGCCCATTCAGATTCTTCTCCTGCCTTGACCCATGAGGTCCCTTAGAGTGCCCCACGCCCCCGTTGCTGCTTTGACATGTTTAACTCAGAGTCATACGGGAGGCACGTTGACAGATATCCCCTCCTCAGTGCCTTCCAAGGCCAGGGAGACACCCAAGGCTAGGACTGCTACCCCTGCGGACTGAGTAAGGAAACAGAGGCTCAGGGCCAGGCTCTGGCTTTGACCAGCTGAGGAGCGTGGGCCAAGTCTCTTAACCGCTCCGAGCTTAGTTTACTTAGCTCAGGAAAAAAAAGGGTGGCGGAGTTATTTGCTTAGGCTTCTATATATGATCATATGCACAAGCCACGCAAAACAAGGAATGCCAAAAACCATTTGCTTACTCTTAAAAGGTGTGACTGGTGGGGGGGGATGACTTAAAAAGAGGGTCATTACTGACTGACTTGCTGAAGTTACAGGCCAATAAGTAGCAGGCCTAGATTAGAATCCAGAACTCGGCTCTCGGGCCAGCGCGCCCTCTGCTTCATCTCACGGCTCCTGACACTGCCCTCCCTGCCGCCACAGGGGTGATGGACAACCCCCTGGTCATGCACCAGCTGCGCTGCAACGGTGTGCTGGAGGGCATCCGCATCTGCAGGAAGGGCTTCCCCAACCGCATCCTCTATGGGGACTTCCGGCAGAGGTGGGTATA